TGCTGATGAGGATATCCAGGAAGGGTAGCATGTCGCTGTTTTCTTCCTCTCTGGTGAATTTTATTCCTTTGAAGAGGTCGTTGATGGTTTCATGTGTCTTCTTTAGATGTTCCTTTTTTATTATGGCGAAGGTGTCATCTACATACCGGATCCATACTTTTGTTCTATGTGTGGGAGTGCTATAGTTTCTAGACACTGCATCACAATCTCTGCAATGAGTCCTGAGAGTGGGGATCCCATGGGTGTGCTCTGATTTGGCACGCAGCGGTACTACACAACACACCCCACCTAACCAAATACACCCAGATCGAAACACCCAGGATCATGGACCTATCAACCTCTGCCTCGCTACCTATTTTCAGTTTGAGGGACAAATATACCAACAAATCAGAGGAATGCCCACAAACGCTGGCTTTCCAAATGCTTGATCTCCCTGGGCCAAGATGTAGGGCAATTCTACACAGTAGCCTACGCTGCTTGCCTCCTGCCCATTTCTTAAGCCAACTTCAGAAGCTCCAGTCTGGTTTGCAGCGAAGCCAGGCTGCAATCAGCCCCTGCAAGACCTGGCTGGTCATTTCCCTTCTTTCTAGAGACTGTCCCCTCTTCACAAGGCCACGTGCCTTGCCTTTGCTTACCCAGAAATTTGCACCCACACCTTGCTTTGACACTAACACAGACCCTTTCTACTTTTTCTTTTTGTCTTTTATGGTACTGCTGTGGTGGCGAAAATAGATCTGACAAACAAGAGGGAGGCGGCCCCCTTTCCCTCCCTGTCTTTTGGTGGCGAGGAGGGTGCAGTCCAGCTCCTCTCTTTCCTAGTCCTATCAGCACCTCACTGCCCCTTCCTGACCCAGACAGAGCCCCCTTGCAACCCCACCGGGACCCAGAACAGAAGCCTCCTCACCCCCCCCACTCCCAGCACCGCCGGAGGGCACCCCTAAGGGGGGAGCTGTGGAGTCATGTCTGGGGGAGAATCCCCAATGCGCCCTCTCTCGGGACACGCCCCCCTTGTCTCAATGTTCTGCTGGGGCTTCCCCAGCTCTGCTGCCCTCCCGACGGGGCCCTCTGCCCCACATCAGAAAGACCCTGGGGCACCGTGAGGACCTGCCGCGCTCCCCCAAACGGGCCAGCCCAGCAGATCCCTTGGATCTCCTGCCCAGCAGCCCTCAGCTTCCATAAGAATCTCTGCTTTCCCATGGTTTGGGGGCCCTCTTTCTTGTGAGGCAGCCCCCCACGACCCCTGCCGTCCAGGTGGTCCTTCTCCGCAGTGTTGCGCTCCGGACGTCTGAATTCTCCAGAGCAGCACCACAGCTCTGATGTTACCAGAATCCAACTGAGAGGGAACAGATGCTTCTTCCTTCTTCCATGGAAACTCTGCAGCGTGGAAGAACGGATAGTTCAGCTTTCTAGAAGCAAAGGAGGAACTGCCCTATGCTGTAACTTACAGATGTTTTTTAAAAAAAAAAATAAAGAAAAGGGAAGCTTTGCAGTCCTGTGGGCGGGGAAAGTGGGAAAGCAAGGGGAGTGTGTTTCATGCAGCCTGGGCAGAAATTGAAACGGAGCCCACAGGGAGGTGAAAAGGTTGAACGGGGCATGAGGTTCTAGGGTTCAAATAGTTCATCGATGAAGTGGCTGCCCCA